CTTATAGGAGCAGAGAAGTGAAAAAGCAAGGGAGGCTTGGGTTGAGTCACTCAATGAATCCCACTTGACCCAAGCTTCTCTCGCTGTTTCACTTTTTTGTGACAGTCTTCACTCTGTTTTACTAACCTGGAGTGAGCCAATGCCTGAAACAACCTTGTGTCATTTTAAAAGTTATTTTTGTTTTATCCGTGTCAAATTAACATAATCCAATTTCATAAAGAAAATTAACAATAAATTTTGGCTACCAATTTACGGCGTCATCTCTTTTCTTTGCACTGTGTGATTAAGCAGATTTTTTCATGTCATGCAATAGCTTGGCCAAAATGGCATAGGTATCTCTTCTATTCTTTAACCGCGATTCAGTGTACTGGATAAGACTGGCTTGCAGGCTCAACACCCTTTGCCTATTGTAACAGATCATTTATATTAAAAAAAAAGAATTAAAATCAATCAAGAAAGCAGATTGTCTGCTGCAGTTAGAGCCACATGACAATTTCCCTATATGTGCCCTTAACAATTATTTATTATTTTTATTATTATTTATACCATTTTGCCTCTGTTTAATACACCGGCGCAAAGTATTCATTGCCAAATCACCGAATATAGTCTGGAAAAAAATTGCTCGTGTGTATTTTTGTCTATTCGGCTTCTCGGAGGTTACTAGTACTTGCTGATCACTTTTGAGCTGATCAATCAGCATGCGCGAAAAGCACTATTAACTTGTGTGGTATATACTAATTTTTTAATATTCAGATTTTTAACATGAAAACAGCACAAATATTCATATAATCCTTTGACATGTGTCTTACATGTAAACCAACAGCATGGTGGTCTGCCTGTAAAACAAACTGAGAAATGCCACCAGTTAAGGGAAGCATGCAAAATTTTCCAGCTAAACAGTAAGAAAGTCTAAGTAAAACAAAAGGTTTTTTAATATCACTTTATTCACCTCATTCTTTGCAGCTTCTGAAATTGAATTTTATGCTTCCTCTGCATCGTCTTTAGCT